ATAGGCGCCCCTAGAGATAGGCGCCCCTAGAGATAGGCGCCCATAGAGATAGGCGCCCATAGAGATAGGCGCCCTAGAGATAGGCGCCCCTAGAGATAGGCGCCCATAGAGATAGGCGCCCCTAGAGATAGGCGCCCATAGAGATAGGCGCCCATAGAGATAGGCGCCCATAGAGATAGGCGCCCCTAGAGATAGGCGCCCATAGAGATAGGCGCCCATAGAGATAGGCGCCCCTAGAGATAGGCGCCCATAGAGATAGGCGCCCCTAGAGATAGGCGCCCATAGAGATAGGCGCCCCTAGAGATAGGCGCCCTAGAGATAGGCGCCCCTAGAGATAGGCGCCCATAGAGATAGGCGCCCATAGAGATAGGCGCCCTAGAGATAGGCGCCCCTAGAGAGAAGCGCCCTATAGCGCCCAGATAGGCGCCCATAGAGATAGGCGCCCATAGAGATAGGCGCCCTAGAGATAGGCGCCCCTAGAGATAGGCGCCCATAGAGATAGGCGCCCATAGAGATAGGCGCCCATAGAGATAGGCGCCCCTAGAGATAGGCGCCCATAGAGATAGGCGCCCCTAGAGATAGGCGCCCATAGAGATAGGCGCCCATAGAGATAGGCGCCCATAGAGATAGGCGCCCATAGAGATAGGCGCCCATAGAGATAGGCGCCCATAGAGATAGGCGCCCCTAGAGATAGGCGCCCATAGAGATAGGCGCCCCTAGAGATAGGCGCCCCTAGAGATAGGCGCCCCTAGAGATAGGCGCCCATAGAGATAGGCGCCCCTAGAGATAGGCGCCCCTAGAGATAGGCGCCCATAGAGATAGGCGCCCTAGAGATAGGCGCCCATAGAGATAGGCGCCCATAGAGATAGGCGCCATAGAGATAGGCGCCCAAGAGATAGGCGCCCATAGAGATAGGCGCCCATAGAGATAGGCGCCCATAGAGATAGGCGCCCATAGAGATAGGCGCCCCTAGAGATAGGCGCCCATAGAGATAGGCGCCCCTAGAGATAGGCGCCCATAGAGATAGGCGCCCATAGAGATAGGCGCCCCTAGAGATAGGCGCCCATAGAGATAGGCGCCCAAAGAGATAGGCGCCCATAGAGATAGGCGCCCATAGAGATAGGCGCCCATAGAGATAGGCGCCCATAGAGATAGGCGCCCCTAGAGATAGGCGCCCATAGAGATAGGCGCCCATAGAGATAGGCGCCCCTAGAGATAGGCGCCCCTAGAGATAGGCGCCCCTAGAGATAGGCGCCCATAGAGATAGGCGCCCCTAGAGATAGGCGCCACTAGAGATAGGCGCCCCTAGAGATAGGCGCCCCTAGAGATAGGCGCCCATAGAGATAGGCGCCCCTAGAGATAGGCGCCCCTAGAGATAGGCGCCTATAGAGATAGGCGCCCTAGAGATAGGCGCCCATAGAGATAGGCGCCCATAGAGATAGGCGCCCATAGAGATAGGCGCCATAGAGATAGGCGCCCCTAGAGATAGGCGCCCCTAGAGATAGGCGCCCCTAGAGATAGGCGCCCCTAGAGATAGGCGCCCATAGAGATAGGCGCCCCTAGAGATAGGCGCCCCTAGAGATAGGCGCCCCTAGAGATAGGCGCCCCTAGAGATAGGCGCCCTAGAGATAGGCGCCCCTAGAGATAGGCGCCCTAGAGATAAGCGCCCCTAGAGATAGGCGCCCATAGAGATAGGCGCCCCTAGAGATAGGCGCCCCTAGAGATAGGCGCCCTTAGAGATAGGCGCCCCTAGAGATAGGCGCCCCTAGAGATAGGCGCCCATAGAGATAGGCGCCCATAGAGATAGGCGCCCCTAGAGATAGGCGCCCATAGAGATAGGCGCCCATAGAGATAGGCGCCCTAGAGATAGGCGCCCCTAGAGATAGGCGCCCTATAAGATAGGCGCCCTAGAGATAGGCGCCCTAGAGATAGGCGCCCCTAGAGATAGGCGCCCATAGAGATAGGCGCCCATAGAGATAGGCGCCCTAGAGATAGGCGCCCCTAGAGATAGGCGCCCATAGAGATAGGCGCCCATAGAGATAGGCGCCCATAGAGATAGGCGCCCATAGAGATAGGCGCCCATAGAGATAGGCGCCCATAGAGATAGGCGCCCCTAGAGATAGGCGCCCATAGAGATAGGCGCCCCTAGAGATAGGCGCCCCTAGAGATAGGCGCCCCTAGAGATAGGCGCCCTAGAGATAGGCGCCCCTAGAGATAGGCGCCCCTAGAGATAGGCGCCCACTAGAGATAGGCGCCCCTAGAGATAGGCGCCCATAGAGATAGGCGCCCTAGAGATAGGCGCCCATAGAGATAGGCGCCCATAGAGATAGGCGCCCATAGAGATAGGCGCCCATAGAGATAGGCGCCCCTAGAGATAGGCGCCCTAGAGATAGGCGCCCTAGAGATAGGCGCCCCTAGAGATAGGCGCCCCTAGAGATAGGCGCCCATAGAGATAGGCGCCCATAGAGATAGGCGCCCCTAGAGATAGGCGCCCCTAGAGATAGGCGCCCCTAGAGATAGGCGCCCCTAGAGATAGGCGCCCATAGAGATAGGCGCCCCTAGAGATAGGCGCCCCTAGAGATAGGCGCCCATAGAGATAGGCGCCCCTAGAGATAGGCGCCCTAGAGATAGGCGCCCCTAGAGATAGGCGCCTACTAGAGATAGGCGCCCCTAGAGATAGGCGCCCATAGAGATAGGCGCCCCTAGAGATAGGCGCCCCTAGAGATAGGCGCCCTAGAGATAGGCGCCCCTAGAGATAGGCGCCCTAGAGATAGGCGCCCATAGAGATAGGCGCCCATAGAGATAGGCGCCCCTAGAGATAGGCGCCCATAGAGATAGGCGCCCATAGAGATAGGCGCCCCCTAGAGATAGGCGCCCCTAGAGATAGGCGCCCATAGAGATAGGCGCCCTAGAGATAGGCGCCCATAGAGATAGGCGCCCCTAGAGATAGGCGCCCATAGAGATAGGCGCCCATAGAGATAGGCGCCCTAGAGATAGGCGCCCTAGAGATAGGCGCCCATAGAGATAGGCGCCCATAGAGATAGGCGCCCATAGAGATAGGCGCCCATAGAGATAGGCGCCCATAGAGATAGGCGCCCATAGAGATAGGCGCCCCTAGAGATAGGCGCCCATAGAGATAGGCGCCCCTAGAGATAGGCGCCCCTAGAGATAGGCGCCCCTAGAGATAGGCGCCCTAGAGATAGGCGCCCATAGAGATAGGCGCCCCTAGAGATAGGCGCCACTAGAGATAGGCGCCCCTAGAGATAGGCGCCCATAGAGATAGGCGCCCCTAGAGATAGGCGCCCATAGAGATAGGCGCCCATAGAGATAGGCGCCCATAGAGATAGGCGCCCATAGAGATAGGCGCCCCTAGAGATAGGCGCCCCTAGAGATAGGCGCCCATAGAGATAGGCGCCCCTAGAGATAGGCGCCCCTAGAGATAGGCCCCATAGAGATAGGCGCCCATAGAGATAGGCGCCCTAGAGATAGGCGCCCTAGAGATAGGCGCCCTAGAGATAGGCGCCCCTAGAGATAGGCGCCCCTAGAGATAGGCGCCCCTAGAGATAGGCGCCCTAGAGATAGGCGCCCCTAGAGATAGGCGCCCCTAGAGATAGGCGCCCTAGAGATAGGCGCCCCTAGAGATAGGCGCCCCTAGAGATAGGCGCCCCTAGAGATAGGCGCCCTAGAGATAGGCGCCCCTAGAGATAGGCGCCCCTAGAGATAGGCGCCCCTAGAGATAGGCGCCCCTAGAGATAGGCGCCCCTAGAGATAGGCGCCCATAGAGATAGGCGCCCTAGAGATAGGCGCCCCTAGAGATAGGCGCCCTAGAGATAGGCGCCCTAGAGATAGGCGCCCTAGAGATAGGCGCCCATAGAGATAGGCGCCCCTAGAGATAGGCGCCCCTAGAGATAGGCGCCCCTAGAGATAGGCGCCCCTAAGATAGGCGCCCCTAGAGATAGGCGCCCCAAGAGATAGGCGCCCCTAGAGATAGGCGCCCCTAGAGATAGGCGCACCTAGAGATAGGCGCCCCTAGAGATAGGCGCCCCTAGAGATAGGCGCCCCTAGAGATAGGCGCCCTAGAGATAGGCGCCCCTAGAGATAGGCGCCCATAGAGATAGGCGCCCCTAGAGATAGGCGCCCCTAGAGATAGGCGCCCCTAGAGATAGGCGCCCCTAGAGATAGGCGCCCCTAGAGATAGGCGCCCCTAGAGATAGGCGCCCCTAGAGATAGGCGCCCCTAGAGATAGGCGCCCCTAGAGATAGGCGCCCCTAGAGATAGGCGCCCCTAGAGATAGGCGCCCCTAGAGATAGGCGCCCATAGAGATAGGCGCCCATAGAGATAGGCGCCCATAGAGATAGGCGCCCATAGAGATAGGCGCCCATAGAGATAGGCGCCCATAGAGATAGGCGCCCATAGAGATAGGCGCCCATAGAGATAGGCGCCCATAGAGATAGGCGCCCATAGAGATAGGCGCCCCTAGAGATAGGCGCCCATAGAGATAGGCGCCCATAGAGATAGGCGCCCATAGAGATAGGCGCCCATAGAGATAGGCGCCCATAGAGATAGGCGCCCATAGAGATAGGCGCCCATAGAGATAGGCGCCCTAGAGATAGGCGCCCATAGAGATAGGCGCCCATAGAGATAGGCGCCCTTAGAGATACGCCCATAGAGATAGGCGCCCATAGAGATAGGCGCCCCTAGAGATAGGCGCCCCTAGAGATAGGCGCCCCTAGAGATAGGCGCCCATAGAGATAGGCGCCCATAGAGATAGGCGCCCATAGAGATAGGCGCCCATAGAGATAGGCGCCCATAGAGATAGGCGCCCATAGAGATAGGCGCCCCTAGAGATAGGCGCCCATAGAGATAGGCGCCCCTAGAGATAGGCGCCCCTAGAGATAGGCACCCCTAGAGATAGGCGCCCCTAGAGATAGGCGCCCCTAGAGATAGGCGCCCCTAGAGATAGGCGCCCCTAGAGATGGCGCCCATAGAGATGGCGCCACTAGAGATAGGCGCCCCTAGAGATAGGCGCCCATAGAGATAGGCGCCCATAGAGATAGGCGCCCCTAGAGATAGGCGCCCTAGAGATAGGACGCCCATAGAGATAGGCGCCCCTAGAGATAGGCGCCCATAGAGATAGGCGCCCATAGAGATAGGCGCCCCTAGAGATAGGCGCCCCTAGAGATAGGCGCCCATAGAGATAGGCGCCCAAAGAGATAGGCGCCCTAGAGATAGGCGCCCCTAGAGATAGGCGCCCATAGAGATAGGCGCCCCTAGAGATAGGCGCCCCTAGAGATAGGCGCCCATAGAGATAGGCGCCCATAGAGATAGGCGCCCATAGAGATAGGCGCCCCTAGAGATAGGCGCCCATAGAGATAGGCGCCCCTAGAGATAGGCGCCCATAGAGATAGGCGCCCATAGAGATAGGCGCCCATAGAGATAGGCGCCCATAGAGATAGGCGCCCATAGAGATAGGCGCCCATAGAGATAGGCGCCCCTAGAGATAGGCGCCCATAGAGATAGGCGCCCATAGAGATAGGCGCCCATAGAGATAGGCGCCCATAGAGATAGGCGCCCATAGAGATAGGCGCCCATAGAGATAGGCGCCCATAGAGATAGGCGCCCATAGAGATAGGCGCCCATAGAGATAGGCGCCCCTAGAGATAGGCGCCCCTAGAGATAGGCGCCCCTAGAGATAGGCGCCCCTAGAGATAGGCGCCCCTAGAGATAGGCGCCCCTAGAGATAGGCGCCCATAGAGATAGGCGCCCTAGAGATAGGCGCCCCTAGAGAGAGGCGCCCATAGAGATAGGCGCCCATAGAGATAGGCGCCCCTAGAGATAGGCGCCCCTAGAGATAGGCGCCTATAGAGATAGGCGCCCCTAGAGATAGGCGCCCATAGAGATAGGCGCCCATAGAGATAGGCGCCCCTAGAGATAGGCGCCCCTAGAGATAGGCGCCCATAGAGATAGGCGCCCAAGAGATAGGCGCCTCTAGAGATAGGCGCCCCTAGAGATAGGCGCCCATAGAGATAGGCGCCCATAGAGATAGGCGCCCCTAGAGATAGGCGCCCCTAGAGATAGGCGCCCATAGAGATAGGCGCCCCTAGAGATAGGCGCCCATAGAGATAGGCGCCCCTAGAGATAGGCGCCCATAGAGATAGGCGCCCCTAGAGATAGGCGCCCATAGAGATAGGCGCCCATAGAGATAGGCGCCCATAGAGATAGGCGCCCATAGAGATAGGCGCCCATAGAGATAGGCGCCCATAGAGATAGGCGCCCATAGAGATAGGCGCCCATAGAGATAGGCGCCCCTAGAGATAGGCGCCCATAGAGATAGGCGCCCCTAGAGATAGGCGCCCATAGAGATAGGCGCCCATAGAGATAGGCGCCCATAGAGATAGGCGCCCATAGAGATAGGCGCCCATAGAGATAGGCGCCCCTAGAGATAGGCCCCCTAGAGATAGGCGCCCATAGAGATAGGCGCCCCTAGAGATAGGCGCCCATAGAGATAGGCGCCCATAGAGATAGGCGCCCCTAGAGATAGGCGCCCATAGAGATAGGCGCCCATAGAGATAGGCGCCCATAGAGATAGGCGCCCATAGAGATAGGCGCCCATAGAGATAGGCGCCCATAGAGATAGGCGCCCATAGAGATAGGCGCCCATAGAGATAGGCGCCCATAGAGATAGGCGCCCATAGAGATAGGCGCCCATAGAGATAGGCGCCCCTAGAGATAGGCGCCCCTAGAGATAGGCGCCCATAGAGATAGGCGCCCCTAGAGATAGGCGCCCCTAGAGATAGGCGCCCATAGAGATAGGCGCCCATAGAGATAGGCGCCCATAGAGATAGGCGCCCATAGAGATAGGCGCCCATAGAGATAGGCGCCCATAGAGATAGGCGCCCATAGAGATAGGCGCCCCTAGAGATAGGCGCCCATAGAGATAGGCGCCCATAGAGATAGGCGCCCATAGAGATAGGCGCCCATAGAGATAGGCGCCCATAGAGATAGGCGCCCATAGAGATAGGCGCCCCTAGAGATAGGCGCCCATAGAGATAGGCGCCCATAGAGATAGGCGCCCATAGAGATAGGCGCCCATAGAGATAGGCGCCCATAGAGATAGGCGCCCATAGAGATAGGCGCCCATAGAGATAGGCGCCCATAGAGATAGGCGCCCCTAGAGATAGGCGCCCCTAGAGATAGGCGCCCCTAGAGATAGGCGCCCCTAGAGATAGGCGCCCCTAGAGATAGGCGCCCCTAGAGATAGGCGCCCCTAGAGATAGGCGCCCCTAGAGATAGGCGCTCCTAGAGATAGGCGCCCCTAGAGATAGGCGCCCCTAGAGATAGGCGCCCATAGAGATAGGCGCCCATAGAGATAGGCGCCCATAGAGATAGGCGCCCATAGAGATAGGCGCCCATAGAGATAGGCGCCCCTAGAGATAGGCGCCCCTAGAGATAGGCGCCCATAGAGATAGGCGCCCATAGAGATAGGCGCCCCTAGAGATAGGCGCCCATAGAGATAGGCGCCCATAGAGATAGGCGCCCATAGAGATAGGCGCCCATAGAGATAGGCGCCCATAGAGATAGGCGCCCATAGAGATAGGCGCCCATAGAGATAGGCGCCCATAGAGATAGGCGCCCATAGAGATAGGCGCCCATAGAGATAGGCGCCCATAGAGATAGGCGCCCATAGAGATAGGCGCCCATAGAGATAGGCGCCCATAGAGATAGGCGCCCATAGAGATAGGCGCCCATAGAGATAGGCGCCCCTAGAGATAGGCGCCCCTAGAGATAGGCGCCCCTAGAGATAGGCGCCCCTAGAGATAGGCGCCCCTAGAGATAGGCGCCCCTAGAGATAGGCGCCCCTAGAGATAGGCGCCCCTAGAGATAGGCGCCCATAGAGATAGGCGCCCATAGAGATAGGCGCCCATAGAGATAGGCGCCCATAGAGATAGGCGCCCCTAGAGATAGGCGCCCCTAGAGATAGGCGCCCTTAGAGATAGGCGCCCATAGAGATAGGCGCCCATAGAGATAGGCGCCCCTAGAGATAGGCGCCCCTAGAGATAGGCGCCCATAGAGATAGGCGCCCATAGAGATAGGCGCCCCTAGAGATAGGCGCCCATAGAGATAGGCGCCCATAGAGATAGGCGCCCATAGAGATAGGCGCCCATAGAGATAGGCGCCCATAGAGATAGGCGCCCATAGAGATAGGCGCCCATAGAGATAGGCGCCCATAGAGATAGGCGCCCATAGAGATAGGCGCCCATAGAGATAGGCGCCCATAGAGATAGGCGCCCATAGAGATAGGCGCCCCTAGAGATAGGCGCCCCTAGAGATAGGCGCCCCTAGAGATAGGCGCCCCTAGAGATAGGCGCCCCTAGAGATAGGCGCCCCTAGAGATAGGCGCCCCTAGAGATAGGCGCCCCTAGAGATAGGCGCCCCTAGAGATAGGCGCCCCTAGAGATAGGCGCCCATAGAGATAGGCGCCCATAGAGATAGGCGCCCATAGAGATAGGCGCCCATAGAGATAGGCGCCCCTAGAGATAGGCGCCCCTAGAGATAGGCGCCCCTAGAGATAGGCGCCCATAGAGATAGGCGCCCATAGAGATAGGCGCCCATAGAGATAGGCGCCCCTAGAGATAGGCGCCCCTAGAGATAGGCGCCCCTAGAGATAGGCGCCCATAGAGATAGGCGCCCATAGAGATAGGCGCCCATAGAGATAGGCGCCCCTAGAGATAGGCGCCCATAGAGATAGGCGCCCCTAGAGATAGGCGCCCCTAGAGATAGGCGCCCCTAGAGATAGGCGCCCTAGAGATAGGCGCCCCTAGAGATAGGCGCCCCTAGAGATAGGCGCCCCTAGAGATAGGCGCCCCTAGAGATAGGCGCCCCTAGAGATAGGCGCCCCTAGAGATAGGCGCCCCTAGAGATAGGCGCCCTAGAGATAGGCGCCCCTAGAGATAGGCGCCCCTAGAGATAGGCGCCCCTAGAGATAGGCGCCCATAGAGATAGGCGCCCCTAGAGATAGGCGCCCCTAGAGATAGAGATAGGCGCCCATAGAGATAGGCGCCCATAGAGATAGGCGCCCCTAGAGATAGGCGCCCATAGAGATAGGCGCCCATAGAGATAGGCGCCCATAGAGATAGGCGCCCATAGAGATAGGCGCCCATAGAGATAGGCGCCCATAGAGATAGGCGCCCATAGAGATAGGCGCCCATAGAGATAGGCGCCCATAGAGATAGGCGCCCCTAGAGATAGGCGCCCATAGAGATAGGCGCCCATAGAGATAGGCGCCCATAGAGATAGGCGCCCCTAGAGATAGGCGCCCATAGAGATAGGCGCCCATAGAGATAGGCGCCCATAGAGATAGGCGCCCCTAGAGATAGGCGCCCCTAGAGATAGGCGCCCATAGAGATAGGCGCCCATAGAGATAGGCGCCCATAGAGATAGGCGCCCCTAGAGATAGGCGCCCCTAGAGATAGGCGCCCATAGAGATAGGCGCCCATAGAGATAGGCGCCCCTAGAGATAGGCGCCCCTAGAGATAGGCGCCCCTAGAGATAGGCGCCCCTAGAGATAGGCGCCCCTAGAGATAGGCGCCCCTAGAGATAGGCGCCCCTAGAGATAGGCGCCCATAGAGATAGGCGCCCATAGAGATAGGCGCCCATAGAGATAGGCGCCCATAGAGATAGGCGCCCCTAGAGATAGGCGCCCCTAGAGATAGGCGCCCCTAGAGATAGGCGCCCATAGAGATAGGCGCCCATAGAGATAGGCGCCCATAGAGATAGGCGCCCCTAGAGATAGGCGCCCCTAGAGATAGGCGCCCCTAGAGATAGGCGCCCATAGAGATAGGCGCCCATAGAGATAGGCGCCCATAGAGATAGGCGCCCCTAGAGATAGGCGCCCATAGAGATAGGCGCCCCTAGAGATAGGCGCCCCTAGAGATAGGCGCCACTAGAGATAGGCGCCCTAGAGATAGGCGCCCCTAGAGATAGGCGCCCCTAGAGATAGGCGCCCCTAGAGATAGGCGCCCCTAGAGATAGGCGCCCCTAGAGATAGGCGCCCCTAGAGATAGGCGCCCTAGAGATAGGCGCCCCTAGAGATAGGCGCCCCTAGAGATAGGCGCCCTAGAGATAGGCGCCCCTAGAGATAGGCGCCCATAGAGATAGGCGCCCTAGAGATAGGCGCCCCTAGAGATAGGCGCCCATAGAGATAGGCGCCCATAGAGATAGGCGCCCCTAGAGATAGGCGCCCATAGAGATAGGCGCCCATAGAGATAGGCGCCCATAGAGATAGGCGCCCATAGAGATAGGCGCCCATAGAGATAGGCGCCCATAGAGATAGGCGCCCATAGAGATAGGCGCCCATAGAGATAGGCGCCCATAGAGATAGGCGCCCCTAGAGATAGGCGCCCATAGAGATAGGCGCCCATAGAGATAGGCGCCCTAGAGATAGGCGCCCCTAGAGATAGGCGCCCATAGAGATAGGCGCCCATAGAGATAGGCGCCCATAGAGATAGGCGCCCCTAGAGATAGGCGCCCCTAGAGATAGGCGCCCATAGAGATAGGCGCCCATAGAGATAGGCGCCCCTAGAGATAGGCGCCCCTAGAGATAGGCGCCCATAGAGATAGGCGCCCATAGAGATAGGCGCCCCTAGAGATAGGCGCCCATAGAGATAGGCGCCCCTAGAGATAGGCGCCCCTAGAGATAGGCGCCCTTAGAGATAGGCGCCCCTAGAGATAGGCGCCCCTAGAGATAGGCGCCCCTAGAGATAGGCGCCCCTAGAGATAGGCGCCCCTAGAGATAGGCGCCCCTAGAGATAGGCGCCCCTAGAGATAGGCGCCCCTAGAGATAGGCGCCCCTAGAGATAGGCGCCCCTAGAGATAGGCGCCCCTAGAGATAGGCGCCCCTAGAGATAGGCGCCCCTAGAGATAGGCGCCCATAGAGATAGGCGCCCATAGAGATAGGCGCCCATAGAGATAGGCGCCCATAGAGATAGGCGCCCCTAGAGATAGGCGCCCCTAGAGATAGGCGCCCCTAGAGATAGGCGCCCATAGAGATAGGCGCCCATAGAGATAGGCGCCCATAGAGATAGGCGTCCCTAGAGAGATAGGGGCGCCTATTTCTAGAGGCGCCTATCTCTATGGGCGCCTATCTCTAGGGGCGCCTATCTCTAGGGGCTCCTATCTTTATGGGCGCCTATCTCGAGGGGCGCCTATCTCTAGGGGCGCCCTATCTCTAGGGGCGCCTATCTCTAGGGGCGCCAATCTCTATGGGCGCCTATCTCTAGGGCGCCTATCTCTATGGGCGCCTATAGATAGGGGCGCCTATCTCTAGGGGCGCCTATCTCTAGGGCGCCTATCTCTAGGGGCGCCCTATCTCTATTGGCCCTATCTTTAGGGGCGCCTATCTCTAGGTGCGCCTATCTCTAGGGGCGCC